GGTGGGGACTGGCAAAGATGGGCGGATCCTGAAGGAGGACATCCTGAACTTCCTGGCGAAGCAAACAGGAGCCATCTTGCCTCCGGCACCTTTCCAGGAGATCCAGACTCCGCCCCCGGCCCCTGCTGCTGCTCCTGCTGCTGCCAAGCCTGTGAGCACTAAGGCGGCTGTGAAACCTCCACCCGCTACTCCTAAACCTGTCTTCACTGGCAAGGACGTGACGGAGCCCCTCAAAGGTCAGAGATTGCTGTCACGCCAAAGTGTCGCGCTGTTCATTGCGAGCCTTGCATGTCATCTCTTTTCTCTGTAAACATTCTGATTGGTTCTTCAGGTGTCCAGAAAGCGATGGTGAAGACGATGACTGTGGCGCTGAAGATTCCTCACTTCGGTTACTGTGACGAGGTTGATCTGAGTCGCCTGGTGGCTTTGAGGTCAGAGCTGAAACCTCTCGCAGAGAGTCGTGGTGTCAGACTGAGCTACATGCCCTTCTTCATCAAGGTTGGGGATTAAGGCGCCATTCACGAGCTGCCGATCGATCCCATGTTTGGTATTGAAGTTAATGCTGTGCTCTCATTGGCTCAGGCTGCCTCCCTCGGTCTCCACCACTTCCCGATCCTCAATGCCTCGGTGGATGAGGACTGCCAGAACATCACCTACAAGGTAAGAGCACGCTCTGAGCCGGCTTTGCTTCCCTGGCTGCTCAGTGGCGTCATTAGTGCTGATGGTGGTGTTTCATGTGATTCAGGCGTCCCACAACATCGGCCTGGCAATGGACACGAGTCAGGGTCTGCTGGTTCCCAACGTGAAGAATGTCCAGCTGCTCAGCGTGTTAGAGATTGCCCTTGAGTTGAACCGTCTGCAGGTGCTCGGAGCATCGGGTCAGCTGGGCACTGCCGACCTGATGGGGGGCACTTTCACGCTGTCCAACATTGGATCTGTGAGTCTGACAACAACAGCGACACAAAATATCTCAACAGTGCTGAGAGTAGCTGCACTGACCTCACTCTGCTTGCTGTGTTCGAACCAGATTGGAGGCACGTACGCCAAGCCCGTGATCCTCCCACCCGAGGTCGCCATCGGCGCGCTAGGAAAGATCCAGGTGAGCCGTGGTCAGGCCGAACACACAGCACAGACAGACTTGGGTGTATTTTAGTTTACTATGAGAGGAAAAAGGGTGAATAGCACAAGATATCAAGGATCGCAATAAAGAACAAGAAGATGGTCTAAAGTGTACCTCACCTTGACTCTGATTACCTGTTCTGTTTTAATATCTTCAAGAATATAAAACATTTGACCTGGTTTGTAAAATATTAAATATGAATTTACTTTATAAATTCATATAAATATTTATAAATATTTTATAAATTATTTAAATCAGTGTCTTCAGGAGAATGATGTTCTCTGGCTTTCGGAGGAGGGTTTTGTTCCTCACACTGAACAATAAACTGTTATTTTGTTCAGAGGAAGGAAAACTTACTAAGGTGTGTCTGTGGTTTCTTCGTGAATCACAACAGGAAGTTAAACTGGACCGTCTGACTATCAGGTGACTGTTCAATCAGCTGGCAGGCTCTGAGCATGCTCAGATACCCACCTGATGTTCCTCTTTCTTCTGTGAAACTGCAGGAGATGGCGCATGGACCATAATTCAGGAGTTTATCCATTCAGCTACGCTGTTACCTGCTGCTTAGGAAGTGGCATTACAGAGCAGCTGTTTGTTTTTTAACACGGCTTGCTGACTTCCTGTCTGTCTGTCCAGGTGCTGCCGAGGTTCGACGCTGCCGGTCAGGTAGTCCCAGCTCACATCATGAAGGTCAGCTGGTCAGCGGATCACCGCATTATCGACGGCGCCACCATGTGTCGCTTCTCCAACCTGTGGAGGGAGTACCTAGAGAACCCGGCCAGCATGGTGCTGGACCTCAAATAAACAGTTTCCCAATCAGCCCCGGGGAGGGCGGGACACCACGCTAACAGACCTCGCTGCTCCGCCTCCTTCTCCTCTCCCTGCCTTCATTTCCTGTTTCTGTCTGAGGCCTTAATGCCAACTGTCATTTCCTTGTTGCCTTTAAGCAAGGCACTGTGAGGAGAGGAGAAGGGGTCAGCCTATCAGAGGGCACGCACACACACACATACACACAGTGTGAACTGGGGTCATGATTGTGGGTTCTGCAGGTCCAGTCTGGTGGAAATGACCAGAAACAGGAAGTGAGTTCCTGTCGAGTTCCTGTTCCTGCTCTGGAGCCTCAGGAAATAAATCGAGACAATTTGCCTTTTTTTAAATTAATGCAGGCTACAGCATTTTAATGCATTAAAATCACAGACTGTATATAAAAGATGGCTACCATGCTATCACCCAGCAGTTAGTGACACCTTAAATTGGGTTTTTAACAATCACCATTAGTCACATGAAGCCCCGCCCTAAATCCTTACTTGCTTCCTGCTCCTTTACTACTCTAATTAGACCGTCTCCTCCGAAATTAACTTCCTGTTTTCTTCACCAAAACACACCAGGACCATGAGCTGAGAGATCATACTCTCATAGACCTCAGGCAAGTCACCCACTGCTGGATGGTAGAGAGAATGCAGGTTTAAATTCTCTGTCCATCTTTTATATACAGTCAGACGCTGCAGAGCAGTTGTTGTCTGGTGTCCAGGTGAGATGCTCAAGTCTGAGATGAGCTGGAAGATGAGGGGAAACACCTGTAGCTGCACAGTGAGCGTGTCAGATGGTTTCACTCAGAGTTGAGAGCAGTTTAAATAAACTCATGTGATCGTGATGTCATCCACAGAATCTCACCTGCAGACACCTGATGTCCTGTCACTGTTAAATAATAATATTCATTTTCACTCTGTCTGAATTTCCTCCGCCGAGGCCCAGTTTTAACACGGGCTGTTCCATCTTGCCCACACGAAGCCCGACCCACCGGGTTCAGGTTAAACCTGCAGACTGCGTCCGCACGTACGCTTACCCTCGGAGGAGGTGACTCGATGGTTTGTAGCTGCCCTGAAACTCTAAAATCCTGAGCATTAAACTCCACATATTCATGTACTGTGAAGTCATGTGACCAAGCGTGATCAAAGCAAATGTTGCTGGATCGGATCGTGCTCGTGTCATTTGGATCAGTCAGGCAAACTCCTTGCTGATCTCAATATGTGGATCCAGGTAGTTGTTGTTTAAAACAAACGCAGGCCCCGTCGGTCGGATGGTGATGGTGGTTTTCTCTGCTGCTGAGCAATCCGTGGTGTGCTCACATCATCGCGGCGGTTTGTGAGCAGTGCCATGGTGTTTTTAGTTCATTTTGTCAATCTGGTTCTGTTTGATTTTAAAATCCTCCTCACAGTCCCGCTCATGAGCCTTGACCACGTTTGAATTGTGACCAATGCAGGAAACTGTTGGTATCATGCGAGCGCACCAGTGGGAATGACAGTTATTGTCAGTGAGGAGGGGGGGTTTGACACCATTAACCCTCTGAAGCTGCTGCTGTGGAGCTCTTCCTGTTGACCTGACTCCGTTATTTTTGCTCGTCGTATTTATTAGTGACTGTTACTGCAGATCTCACTGAGAGTCTGCCAGCTGTTAAACTCCATCTTCTCAGCATCTAGAGCGTGGACACAGCCGATAATCTGAGATTAGAGTTGAAATTAAGGATTATGGTTTGTTTTAAATGTAAATGGTGTTATGTGGGGTTTTCTTTTCCCTCCTCCTTCACAGCTTCACACTGCACTGGATCTTTTATTTCGGGAAGTTCTTTGTGCTTTCAAAAATAGTAAGAATTTCTTTTGTTATATCAGGTTTATAAGGCTGAATTAGGTTAAATTCTCTCGGTAACACCAGTCCGGACCTTCATTATGTGTCTCGGGCAGAAGCGCGCCGACTCTGGACATCAGAGCAGGATGCTGGTTTCAATTAAACCTCGTCTATAACCCGATAACTATATCTGAGGTGATGGAGCCATGATGTAGCGCTGCAGAGCTGTTGGTCGGTCCTCCTGGACTTCCTCGCTGTCCTGGTGGCTGCTGGGTAAAGAGCACGGTGTCGGGTTATGTTGGTGTCACGTCGTCTTCTTTTTGTTAGCGTCGTCGGTTTTAGCGACAGATGAAATGTAAACGTGTAAAAAGTGTTTTGTATGTTTGGGAGTGGGTCAGATTCAAAATGTGTGAAACTCAATAAAACCTCTGAATACAGCTGAACACGACTCGCTGTGTGTGTGTGTGAGAGAGCGAGAGTGTGTGTGTGTGTGAGAGAG